TATGGTCTTCCTTCCCTTGGTACATGTTTCCAGAGCACATGTCCTTTTCCTCTGATTTGGCGACCTGGCGGTTCAGCTGGTATGTCCCCCCACTTAAGCACCTGGTCGCTTGGTTCTCTGATCTCAGTTTCCGGTTCCAAATTCGGTCTTCCTGTAGTACTGGCAAAGATCGCACTACCTCCCAACTTGGGACTTGCCAAATAGGTTTTTGGTTCTTCCAGTATCTCAGATTTATTATGCCAAAGCTCCCATTCTAGATAGTGTGACCGAGATTACAGATTTCTAGATCCTACCAATCGTCGAATAGCTGTTAACCGTATCATAGGGCTATTTTTCAAAAATATCATCTGTGGAATTCGAACTCTAGACCTGCCGTCTGGGGGTGTGACAATTCCACCACTTCACTAAGTCGCCACACCCTCATTTGTTAAAAATTAAAAATTTACTTTTTTTTAAATATTTTAAAATTTAGTAATCAGAATTGGATAAACTTTTTTTGTTAAATATATCTTACTAAAAGCTTTATTTTAAAAAAGTTTATTCAAATTGTGCTACTATATATTAAGATAACCCATTTTTTTGCTTTTTAAATTTTAGAAATTTTTGTTAAAACTTATAAATATAATCTTTATACTATATGTTTAGAGTTCTGTTATAGTTATATAATCAAATTTATTTAGTAACTTTTATAATTTTTTTTAATATTATATATAAAATAAAGAAATGTTTTTATAATACTATAGTGCTATTAATATTTGATAATAGCAAAGTTGGTACTAGTTATATTAAATTTTTTTTTTAAAAAACAATTCAGCAATCTTGTTTATACTTTATTAGGTTTAATAATATTATACTAAGAAATATTATAATTATTCAAAAAGCTAACTCTTCAATACCTAAGTTATAAGTATTAACTTATCTAGCTCTTTGTAACTAAAGTTCAAATTACTATATGTAATCTGCTATAAGCAAAACTTTTTTCTATAATGTTCTCTTTTGCTATTAAAGAAAAACAAAATATTATTAAAAGGTTTCTACTAGCCTATCAAGACTATTTATTTTTTTTAAAAATTTTTTCTATCTAGATTTAAATAAAATAGTTTATTTCTTACTTTTATATAAGAGAAAAAAATAAATACTATATTTATAAAAGCAAAAAAAAATTTTAGAAAAAAAAGAAAAAAAAAACTATATAAAAGAAGAAGAAAAAATATCCTAAATATGATTTAATTATAAATAAACAAAGATGAAAAAAACAAAAAAAAAGAATATAATAATCCTAATATATATTTAGTAGATGACAAAAAGAAATAGTAAAAAAGAAAAGAAAAAAAGCAAAAAGTAATAAAAAAAAGAAATATGTAGTATATAGTTTGGAAGTCAACCAGGGCAGCCCTTTCAAAGTACAGATCAGTGGTATAGCCACAGCATATAAGTAGCCAATCATAACAAGCCATAACGAAATCTTGAAAACATAATAAGGAATTAAGTTGTTTTAACACCTAGTATATATTTTTGAATACAAATTAAATATAATTCTAAAAACAAGTTATGCTTTAAAAAAAATTATACTTTAGAAAGATATCATCCAAATGCTCTAATTTTAGCTATATATATATATTAATTTATAGTCTTGAAAAAAGTTTGTGAATTTTCTTTAACTTTTTCTAATTTTTTCAAGAAAAACAGTAAATAATAGATTTATAGTGCCTATAGTATAAATAATAATGCAAGTAGTAAATAATAAAAATTTGTAAATTGTCAAAATTTTCTTTAACTATAATAAAATTATCAACTTATTACTTCATATTTTTTATTATTGATTCTATCAATTAAATAATTAAAAGCCAACAGATATAATATAACTTGAGTGATTAAAATAATAGTTTTTAATAACTTGGAAAAGCAATTTTAACAGAAATCAGTAATACTAGTTCTTCTATATTACTTTTATATTCATGAGTTTTTTATTACTAAGCTAATTTGTTAGTTCGCTTTATAGTATAGGTAATAATAATTCTATATTTGATAGTTTACAAGAAATGAATATAAACTTATTAGGTGTAGCAATCTAGTGTAGTGGTTAGGTTGTCACTTTCACCAAGTGGCAGGTTAAGAGTTCAAAACCCACCGAGAACAGAAAATTCAAATAATTATCTGTGTTATGGCAACCGTCTTTCATCGATCAGTTGGGATAGGATACCTGTAACTATGGTCGCACTAGCAAGACTGGTAGATCTGGGTATCCATGCAACTCTGGGTTACATGGAGAAATGCAAATCAGTAATAGGCAGTACAAATACTAGATAAGTCCCTAGATCATGTAAATCTGTAGAACTGGGAAGACAAAAGCCCATTTGGGAAGACCTAAGCAAAGAGGTAATACAGATCTTCAATGGTACTACTGTAAAGGCTAGACCCAAGAAAAAGGAAACTGAAGTGGAAGAACTAGACAGGGCACAATTGGTGTATGGTAAAGCCAGTCCACCAACTAGGCTGTCGGGCTAACTGGAGGAAAAGGTCATAGTAGTGCTAATGAACTAAGGACAGGTCACAGTCCTTCCAGGCCATCTGGATTGGGAGTCTAGAACCAAAGTAGAGGGAAACTGAAGTATTGGAAATATGCTGTAAAGTGGGTACCGGGGTTTGGGTGAACTTTGCAAGGGCATAGCCCTGTTAATAGGACTGTAGAGTGGGTAGGTTGTTGACAAGGAGGCACCCCGAGCCTTGCTACTGGGTGATATACCCTTAAAAAGGGTACGGTCTGGGTTCCTAGCACAGAAAGGGAGACCACATGTCAAGTTAGATAGCTTGTTATACGGGAACTTAGGTGCTAATTGCTAAGTTGGTACAGAAAATCAGAGAGTTTAAATAGACAATCTTCTAGTAGGTTGCAGGTATGGCAACTAGTGTAGAACCTTCAGGTGGACTACTTAAAATAGGCAATCAAAAGTTGTATATGTAGCTAGTTGTATACTCATTAATGTAACAAAAAATGTCTCAATATAGACATACAAAAAACACAATAAAGTATTAAGCAACCGTAACATCAGTCTTTAACAATAAAAAAAAAATATATATATATATATATATAATATTATAGTAGAAACTTTATTACAATAAATCTATATTAATCTAAAAATTAATAGTCTTTTTGTTACTAAAAAGACTTGGGTAAGAGGATAGATAAGTTAACTAATCAGGCTGTCAAATTTCTTTAACTTAGTACTAGCTAATAATAAGAAGATATGGTTTTAGAAAAATTTTTTATGATAAAGATTTCTAACTATATTTGTGCTACAGGGCACCTAATATAATATTACACCTTCTATTCCCTGTTTAATACTATTATTAATTTAAATAAATAAAGTAATTCTAGCTAGGATAGATTAGAAAAAAATCTTAAAGTATTAATCATAATATTATAGAAAGCATGTTGTTAGAAAAAGCCTTGTAAATATCATTTTTCAATAGCATCATGTAGATCTATTGATTGTGGGTGAGGTCTATGGAAAATTGTTTGGTTAGTAAATAAAGATGTAGAGTATTTTATAATATCTGTACTAAGATTTTGTTTATAAAAAAAAGGAAAATAAGCTTCAATAGTAGTGATTTTTAATAAAGTTGTAATACAGTTGTTAAAAAGAAGGCTTCAATATAATAGTTAAAAATATTATTTTTAAAATCAAGAAGTAAAGTAAAAACAAAAGTATAAAGAGTATTTTGTTAAAGAAGATCAGATATAACTTTTTTTATATCTAAATAAAGATTAACATATTAGTAGCTAAAGACAATATTATAGGTAGCAGCTTTATCTGTATTATAATCTTAAGCAGTACTTAGTTGAAAATAGGTGTCAACAGTTTTTTGAGTATATAAGGGGGAGTCAATAGAAAAGGGACAAATTTTTTCTAAGTAAAAGTTTTCTTAACTTTAAGCTTAAATATCTTAGCCATTATCTTATTAAATTTAATAAATTTTTTTTTATTTTAATTCTATATAATTTTAAGATTAAAATAAAAAAATTTTTA